GAAAAAAAAACAGAATTTGAAAAGGATAGTTAAATTTATGAAGCAATTCTGCGCTGCTCAAAGCGTGTTGCTTGGCATGTAAGCAAATGTGAGGCTGTGTATTTGACATGCAAGTGAGCTTGCCTTCATGGTAGTAAAAGTCAGAAGGAGGAGAGGGGATGGGGGTGTCATCAATAAGGGATGTCTAATTAAATACATATGTAGAACACATGTATGCTGAGACTTCCGCTTGTTTGCATGACTAAATCAAAAGTCTTTCTTTCTCTCTCCCTCTTTCATTCCTCCTCCTTTTGGCTCAGTGCCTCTATTTTTCCCCTCTTTTTTTGCCACCTCCAAGAGCTGTTAATTTTGTTCACTGCTGAGCAAAAGTCAAAGTCAGAGTCTAAACAGCTTGTAATGAGTTTTCAATGGCCCATCTCGCTGAAATTGAGGGCAAAGGAGCAGCAGACTTAGACACTGTCAGCCCTCTGAATTTATTATTGAGGGTACATAGGGTTCTATGGAGAATAGGAAGAGGAAGGCTGGGGATCTGTTAGGCTTTTTTATGCTAAGCACCTGCAACAAGATTGTTTTACTCTTTTAGGTACCTTGACACAACAGATAAACACACAGAAAATCAAATGTGATGTACTTTAGTTAAGAGAGTACTTTGAAATTGGTGGCACAATGTAAGACAACGATTCAGTTATCAGAACTATGGGCATAAAGCAGGCTGCTTCCTGCAAAACAAATGCTGCCTTCCCCAGATGTGTGTCAAACAAATCCAACCCTTTCATAAAAATAGGTGCAAGCTTGAACTTCCAGCTGAGGCAATCAAAACTTTTAAATAAATACACAGAATAAAATGCATGTTGTACAAGCAGGAGCTTTATTCCCTATGTACCAGGGATCATGCATATGCTGGAGAGAAGCTTCCCAGGGACACTCATTGACTCTTTTCATATCTGAAAAGAGTATATTTCAACTGATAAACGTTAAACTCTGTTTCTGCTAAAGATTTGGGCAGCCTTTAGCAATAAACCCATTCACCTGCATTCTATTGGACCGTCTTAAACTGAAATTTCCAACTAAGATTTGCCCTCCACTTTTCTTTTAGTGCAATCCAGAGTAAAAACTATTTAAAGGGGGGGGGGGGCTATTTAGAACAACTCTCCCAATTCTTTATATGTTTTAGATTCTGTCTACCAGCACCTTGGTGACTGTGAAATGCATGTTTTTGGGTTTAATTAGCCCTGTTTTCAAAGGTCTAACATGGGATTCACAATCAGTGGTCTTTAAAGAACAAAGAAAAGTGGTCAAGCCTTAACAGGGAAAGGGATGAAAGGCACCCTCAACAAAATAATTGTTGTACAATTATTATTATTAATTATTATTATTATTATTAAAATAATTATTATGTAATTATGAAATAAGCTGGGGAAGCAGTATTTTTGCAAGACCTCATAATGTGGTAATTTATGACTGGGTAATGTAGAAAAGACACATTTAGCTAACCGAGTACAGGCTTACAGGCTCTGTCCCAGCTTCTGCCAACCTAGCAGTTCGAAAACACACCAGTGCAAGTAGATAAATAGGTACCGCTGCAGCGGGAAGGTAAATGGTGTTTCTGTGTGCTCTGGTTTCCGTCATGGAGTTCATTGCACCAGAAGCAGTTGAGTCCTGCTGGCCACATGACTTGAAAAGCTGTCTGTGGACAAACGCTGGCTCCCTCAGCCTGAAAGTGAGATGAGCACAACAACCCCATAGTCGCCTTTGACTGGACTTAACCATCCAGGGGTCCTTTATCCTTTTTACCTTACCTTACAGTTAAAAGAGAAGAGAGGAGAGAGAAACAACATTTGCTCTCCAGTAGGATTATAGTCATATTACAAAATCCATAATGAAACAACACCAAGAAAACTTGGGCTCCTTTGGAGGAATATGTGGGCTATAAATCTAATAAATAAATAATAATAAGTAACAATTGTGTGTTCTATATGTAAAGACCAGGCGCGCCAACTCTAGGGAGCCGAGGTATCTTCGCCCCCCTCTATATTTGTTGGAAACAGGCTGGGTCCCCTCAATGTTGAGGGGGCCTGATGCATGTCACACACAAGTGATGTCACACACGTCGCACATTACACATTGCAGCTTCAGCGGCCGGCTCCTCTTGGCCTCCTATTGTGAGCTATCTTGAGGATCATTCTAACATCAAAGAAATAAACTGCACCAGTTAATAGGAAGTTGTTTACACTGGCATACGGACTAATAGTTAAGCAGCCTAATACAGTGGTGCCTCGCAAGACGAAATTAATCCGTTCCGCGAGTCTCTTCGTCTTGCGGTTTTTTCGTCTTGCGAAGCACGGCTATTAGCGGCTTAGCGGCTATTAACGGCTTAGCGGCTTTAAGAAAAAGTAAACAAACTCGCAAGAACTCGCAAGACGTTTTGTCTTGCGAAGCAAGCCCATAGGGAAATTCGTCTTGCGGAACGACTCAAAAAACGCAAAACCCTTTCGTCTAGCGAGTTTTTCGTCTTGCGAGGCATTCGTCTTGCGGGGCACCACTGTATTACAATCTCTGGATACTTTCAAAATGTGTATCTACATAACCATGGAAATATACAAACGGGTAGGAAATGTTTGTTTTCCCTTCCCAAATCACAACAAACACACTGTTTCAGGGACTTTTCATATCACTTAAATTTTAGGGCGAGTAAAATGGCAGAAATTGGCAAGACTCCAACTTTCTCACAATTAGTGATGTACTAAGTTTCCTTTCATTAGTTTATGTCTCTTCGTATCTTGTGGTCATTCAGTGTGAATTGAACAAAATACAGATTCTAAATATCTGTTGAAATGGCAGCATCAAAGGATAGAAATCACAAACTTTTGCCAATGAAACAGAACAGAGGAATGGGAGTGACTAAAGAAGGAAAAGAGGGGCTAAGCATGCTTTCTCTCTTTGCCTTAAGTGAATAAAGAATTGTATGTGGAACACAGGAAGCTCCCTTATACCAAGTCAGCTCTCCTGGAAGTGGCTATCCAGGGGTTCAAACAAGAATTTTTCCAGCCCTGCCTGAACCTGAGACCTTCTGTAGGCGTATCTGTCATGAGACACAGATTCTTGAGAGCAGAAGAAGCAGAAAGGCCTACAAAAATCATTCAAGCCTGCTAACTGTTGACAGCAAACTGCTAAGTCACTGTGACTTGTGCCTCGTCTTGAGTGATGACTCATTCTCCCTATATAAAGTAGCCAGCCTCTCTGTGGGCCCGTGTGTGTGTGTTTGTGTGTCTCTGTCTGTCTCTGTGTGTGTCTAAGCCAGTGTGTGTGTTGTGTTGTTGCAGACAGGGTGACTCCAGGACTCTAGTAAATCAGTAACTAAGACTGCATAGCTGTCAACGTTTCCCTTTTTTAAAGAGAAAGTCCCTTATTCCGAATAGGATTCCTTGCAAGAAAAGGGAAAAGTCGACAGCTATGCTAAGACTGTGGCCCTGTGAAGAGTCAGATAGCTGCTATGAACACTCTGTGTATGCCTTTTAACTATGCTGTTTATGAACAACTTTGTTTCCTCAACTAAAAGTTTTATTCTGTTAATGAAGAAGACTCTGCGTTGATTAATTTACCGCTGCACGACAATATCAGATGCTCTGCTACTATGGCCCTTCCCCTATGTCCCCTCAATAATAATGTTGTGCTCTAAATGTTGTTGAGGCTGCTAGTATTTCTGGGAAGCAGTTCTGTTGCTCCTGTGCTCCAAATAAACAATACTGACTGAACTAAATAGGAACAGTTTTAAAAGTGTTATAGCAATGTCTGCTGGTTCAGGTCAAGGGTCTCATCTAGTTCAGCAACAACAACCAACCTTATGTGAAGTCTGCAGCATGGCATGTATTTTATCTTCCACCAGCAAACTTTAGATTTTAGATTTCCAGTACATTTCTGCTTGTGCTAGACTTGCTTACCACCCACAGCAATTATCAGTGCACACAAGTTTAAGATTACATTTGCAAACAGAAACAGCATATAAGAAATACCTCCACAATTTAAAAATAAAATAATAAATCTGACTTATGCTTCCCAAGGTGTGTATGTGCGTACACATGCACACACAACCACAGGAATTTAAATGAAAAGAGGTTTACAAAAAATATATCTGCCAGTTGTTAAAGAGAGTTAAAAACACATCCTAGAAGTGATTAAACTCTAATTTTGTACAAATAAATTCCACATATGGTTTAAAGGCACTATAGATTCCACACAAACATATCCTGTAACAACCTGTAATGGATGATGGATGTGTTTTTCAAAACCCATTTCCTGAACAAGGATACTTTCTACATATTTCACACCATTGGCTGAATGATTGTTGTAGTGAAGTACTGTAAACAAACTCACCCACTCCACTCAACTGTTATTGGAGTTTGGATAAAAATAATGTGTATCTTGTGTTACCATGTATACCAGGTATCATGCATTCAATGAGGAGGAGAAGCAAAAGCTAATAATTTATGAGTAAATAACTACAGTGGTACCGCAGGTTACAGACACTTATGATTATGTGCTCTCGGGTTGCGCACCGCGCCGAACCTTGCGCACATGCGCAGAACCACCAAATCGCAACCTGCGCATGCCCAGACACGGCGCTGCGGGTTGCGAACGCTGCAGGTTGCGAACGTGCCTCCCGCATGGATCACGTTCGCAACCCGAGGTTCCACTGTAGTGGGATCTAATGCAACAAAGGTCATGTTTGGGCTATGGATATTTATTTATTTAAAAGCATTTTTGTCTGCCACTTTAGCCAAACTAGGCCCCTAGGTCAGCCTGTAAATATCAATGAAAGGCAGTCCCTACCACTCAGACTTAAAATAAAAAGACACAAAAAGACAAGGGATGGAGAGGTGGTTAAGAGAAGCAAACTCGGGTACTGCTTCTTTGTTACAGAATTCTGGTAATGACCAGCTGGAACTGAAAGATTTCCTTTTTTTAAAAAAATGATATTTATTGAAAGATTATTATTTTTTAAGTTACAAAAGAAAACAAAGTAGAAAAAGAGAAAAACAAGCCACTTCCAACCATACAAATACACAAAATAAGAGAGAGAAAAAACAAAAATACACCACAAAAATTTAAAAACATTTAAAAACAAATCCATTATTCTCAACACCTCAACTGTCATTACCCTCTTTCCTTGACCTCCTCCTCCACCCCTTCCTTGTGTCCTGGTTGTTAATTGTCACAGCAAATCCTTTCCATATTTCATAATATTCTGTCATTACATTACCTTAAACTATTTTAATCTTAACTTACTATAAAAAACCTTGGAACTTAAAACTTAAATCTTATTTTTACCAACTTCTCATAACCATAATATTCTTACATAATTCTTTAAACATTTTTACTAAAGCCAAATAATTTCATTCCAACATTTTTCTAACATTCATCAATTTTATAAAACAGTCCTAGTAATGAAAAAAAGAAATAAAAACAAATCCAATCTTCATCCAGCATCCCTTCCTCCTGGTCCTGGGTTTGTCAGTCCTTATTATCCCATCGATCTGGCGCATTAACCTGGTGACCTTATATCCGAGGCCCTTAAGTCTCTTCCATGTCCCTTCCGCAGCTCTTCTTCATATTTGTAACTGTATTTTCCCTTGTCTCCTGCTCGTTTCACTCGTGGGAACTCCAGCTTAGCAATATTTTTGACCCTTCTCGACAGATCAGCCCCTTTTCCATAATCGACACTAAATTCCATGTGGTATTTAAAAACATGTTTCAAAAACCCTCCAAAATTGAGAGCCCCCACAATCCCAAACATCTCACGGCCCATTGCCAGACTTGAAAAGTCCAAACATCCCTGCATAGGAGGGTCTATCCAACGCCCCATTTCCAAACCAAACCAAACTTTTTCTTTCCAAATCTGGCTTTTTCCAAGTTCATTTGTCAAATCCTAAAGCTCATATTCCTGTTGGGCCTGTTCTGTCAGGGCACACTCCTGATTTAATTCCTGGGTGGGCTCCACATATTTTCCCACTGCCTGTTCAAAATTTCCCACTGCCTGTTCAAAATTTCTAATCGAATCAGCCATCAAATTCGTCTTCTCATGTAGCTGTTCCAATAGGGCATTTGTTTTATAGAAAGCACACAACAGAGCTTCTGAATACATTGTCCTGCAAGGTCAGATGTCTATTCCCACGATTGTAATCTGTAACAGCTGCCAGCTCCCAGGAGTTGGTTACAGTTTCACAGTCTCCCTCTAGGGGGAAAACTTCTATTTGATCTTTCTTTTAAAGACAAGTCTAGCAACAGAGTTTCCTTTTTTCAGATCTTTTGTCAATATTTGTTCCTTTAAGGTGCGAAAGGAAACAATGGAATCACTATGTTTCTCTTCTTTTAGCTATCTGTCAAAAACGTTTATCTCTGGTCAATGAGCTTCAAACGTCAGTCCTGACACCCCGCTCCAGGATCAGGACGGTGGAAAGTTACTTTACTTTAAACTCACTTCTGCAGGTTTAAACAGTCCAAAAAAGATCCCCCCTTCTTCTCCTGCTGCCAAAGGGGGGTTCAACAATTTTAAATGATGAAAGCCAATCCTTTAGAGGCGATTTTCTGAGCTCTAGTTTACGTTGTCTTTCCTTTATTCTGTCTACAAAGAAACGGAAGGCTGACTTCCTGTTTAGACCTTCCCGTTTCAGTACCAAATTGAAGTAAAATTTTTAAGTCCAATTCCTTTCTGCTCGCAAGTCCTTATTTAAAGTCCAATTGTTCAAAGTTTAAGTACTCACGGGTGCTTATTTTAGAAGCCAAATTGTCCCAGGAAAAAGGCAGCGCTCTCCGGCAACGGCTGTGCGGCTTCACTCCACGGAAATAGCAGTTGACTCACAGCACTGCGCCGCTTCCCCCTCTTCGCTTCGGAGCCCGTTAGTGGGTTCCTTTGCGGGTTGGGGGGGCGCTAAGGGTGCCCGCCGAGTCCCATGGTCACAGGCTTCATCCGCCTGTGATTTTTAAAAGGGTCCCCGCTTCGCCGTAGCGGAAAAGACCCGTTTCGCGCGGAGCTAGTCCCTCCAGTTCAGAGGGAGTCCGCCATTGCCGATGGCGCCACCCCGGAAGTCTTGGAACTGAAAGATTTCAAGGAGAGAAGGATCCTAAAGTTGCTGGTCTTTCAGCAGAGCCAGTTAAGACATCCTGCACTTCCACCTCTCTCCAATAGCATTATGGAATGGCTGCTGTAGATGTGGGAGGACAGTTGAGGGAGGAGCCTGATGGGGCTGGTCTTCCAACAAACTGGATGGAGAGGACCTATAGTCTTCTCTCTTTTTCACAGATGAAATAGCAGCCTGGTTCAGCCAATAATTTAAACCAGATGGTTGAGATGAGCTGTAACAAGCCTCAGGCTTGCACACACCCTTCCCCTCCCTCCTGTGGATGAAACAGAGACCATAGCTTCAACTTTTGAAACAACAACATAGTTTCTTGTTAAGAATGAACTTGGGAAATGATGCCTTAAACTAACTCTTGTTAGCTAAAGCCAAGATCAAACCACATTTTGATCCTTGTTTGTTTTAAGCTTCAATAATAAGTTTAAACCATAGTTCCCCAACTTCATCTATAACAGGCAACTGAGGTTTAGTCAAAAGCAGAAGCTTCTTGCTTCTTCAGAAAGTGAAGTGGGGATGGGGAGCACATGAAGCTGTGACTTAGATTTCTTTGCACACTAACCCCAATTAGCCCTCGGAGCTGAGGTTAATGGTCAGGAATTATGGGAGCTGAAGTCCAACATATCCTCCAACCCTGGTTTAGATGATGCTCTGAACCAGGTTGTAGATTCAAACCCCTTTCAACCAAAACCACTGAGTGCCCTTTAAGAAATTATGATTTCTTAGCTTCATTCACTAGATGATCATTGTTTTTTGTCTCACTTTAATAGATTCGTGGAGGGAACAAAACAAGGATTGCAAAATACATTGGATTTTAAAAGTATAAGAGAACTACAAAAGAGCAATGGATAACTCCTGGTTATCAATGTTCTATTGTTCATTTTATGATAGAAGATTGATTGATTTGACAGTGTGCAATGTTCTGTGCTTTTAAGTTTTTACTTTGTTGTCACTAAATATTTCTTTTAAGATATAAAAAGATCCTCCATTCTGGTAAATGATTGTGCTGTTGCTTTCTAATAAAGACAATGAAAGAAAGAAAAATTGCTGAGCTCCAAGAAGAACTGTAGTTAATCCACACAATTTTTATACAGTTATTGTGACAAAATGGATTGAACAGGTACTGTGGATACAGGAATACATAAATGAAATGCATCCCACTGGAAAAGCTTTTTACTCACATTGTCATTTACAGCTCCTGAATTAATAGACCAAGAAAGGCACCAGAGGCACCAACAAAATGCAGTAAAACCATTGGCAGCCAGTGGTGTCTCAAAGTTTAATTCCCCGGGGGAGAAAAGGACACTGCCTAATCTGTATTCAGTCCTGACATTGTCCACATCTGATATGGAACATTAGCTACTAACTCTCTCAATAGACTAGTGTCCTTCAGTTTATATTACTTTATGTTAATAGTAGAAAAATTACACACAACATCATTTATCATTGTTATACTGCACTATACATCCCATAGCTTATTTTAATATATCTATTTACTCCTAGGATATGGAGAATCTTTTTTAAAAAATTGTGTTTCAAGACAAACCTGTAAAGAGTCATTGCAAGTGCCTTTAAACATACACACACATTCCTACATCCATGTTAAAAACAATCTGTAAGGAACTGTATGTTGAAATCTTAGTGACTTTCTTTGGTTAGAAAAGACTGTATTGTGCTATGTTATAAATCCTAGCAAAACATGGAGTGTAACTAGGGCTCTCGGCAGAGCCCACTGATGGAGTCGTAGCCCATGTTAGAGTAGACCCACTGAAATTAGAGGACATGAGTAACTTAATTTAAGTGGAATAATTTAATGTGGAGTGGGAATTGTTTTGTTACTGCAATTGTTAAGTAGTTGAGCAGTTAGAAATCCTTGGTGATTTACTGCAGTTCTACCGGTTGATCTAGAACTACCTTCTGCCCACCACTCCCAGAAAGCTGCGTTACACAAGATCGTAGTTACCAGCTCCAGGGGGCTGAGGCTCTTTGGGCCCCCTCAAAATATTTTTGAGGGGGCTTCCCCCTCCCATTGTTGAGGCTGTATGCAGAGCTGGACGCTGAGCAATGTCAGGACATCATGCAACGACACACACACAATGTCAGGAGATCATGCAACATCAGGATGACGCAACATCACATTCAGAATATGGCGCCTCTGCAGCAGATGAAACTATCCATCTAGCCAAGTATTATCTACTAATACTGGCAGCAGTTTTCCAGGGTGTTAGGCAAAGGTCTTTCCCATCACTTGCTAACTTAAACTTGTAACTAGAGATGCTGTGGATTGAAACTAGAACCTTCTGAAGTAAAAGCACTTGCTCTACCACTGAGCTGTTATCCCTTTCTATATGAAAAAATAAATTGACCCTGTCCCACACCACAGCTCCCACCATTCTGCAACAGAAATGACCAGTCCTAGTGCTAAGTGACATAGGCTCTAAAAGAAAGAATAGGAGTTTACTTGAATGTAGGTTGTATTCCTTGAATTCCCTTGATTATATTCTCCTGGAATGAGGTCATGTAATTCTTTAACACTGCAAGATTTAAATGGCTTGTTTAGAGCTATGTTCAGTCTGAATCTAAGAGAACCATTTTTTGTCCATTAAAAACCACATATGCAAGAATCTTAGGAACACATCTATAAGATTTGGCATGGGCATTCCAAAGCACAGTCCATTCAGGCATGTTTAAGTTGGGGAAAGGCTTTGCCATAATTTTAGTTACTTTAACATCTCAGCAGCTGGAAAATGGCTTCATTTGGAAATGATTTTGCAGATCATTAGTCCACAATGATTAAATGAAGTGGCATACTAACATAAGAAAATAAGCCAATGTGCATTTTACTGTTTAAACATTTTTACTCACTATTCTCCTCAAAGGCAAAATTCCAAATTTCTCCCTTTTTACATACTGTTCAATAACTAATAAAAGTAAAATTAAAAGCAGTATAAATATCCACCTCCTAGTCCTAAGTTGCTATTGAGTATGAACAAGCTGGCCCAGGCTTTGAACACTACAACATGGAAAAAAGTGGGAAAGGGTAGGCTTCTGGAGAAAAACACAAGCAAACTTTATTATTTGTGCTTATGTGTGTGTGTGTGTGTGTGTAATTGGTTTCATGGACTTACATGACCAAACCATTTGTCTAGCACAGTATTGTCTACTTTGATCGGCAATGGCTATCTGGGTCTCCTATCACCTACTATCTGACCCACTGAGCGGAGATGGTAGGGATTTAATTTGGATCTTTAGCATGCAAAGCAAGGACAATAATGATAAGTGTTGCCCCTTTCCATTTATCTGTTGCCTTTCAACCAGGGGTGGACCTTGGTAATATTACGCCCTGTGGAAAGCCAAAAATTGACATGCACAAGCCTTCCCTATGCTTGGCAAAGCAAGGCGCCCGTGGGGTGAAGGCATAAGGCTATGGCAGAGTGCCCTCCCATCTCCTTCTCAAAGCCAGGCAAGTGCCAACTGCATTTTGAGGAAAGAAGGACTCTAGGACGGTGTCAGTGCCTCATGGGGAAGGTGCTTGGAACCCGGTGTGATGGAATTGGTCATGCTGTCCTAAATCTGCCTCTGTTTCTATCAACAATTTCAAGGCAATGTTATCCCTTATTTTCCCCTCTCTGAGCAAAGCTGTGAGGTGAATTAGTCTGAGAGAATAAATCTCTTCAGGCATTCAGTTTGGAGCTGTGAATGAGCAACTGGGAATGTATGGGGTGAGCCCTGCTACCATTGTGACGCTTTGTGTGCCAGGCACATTTACCAGCCAATGGATAGTCAGTGTTAGTCTGAAGAGGGCAGCCTTACTTGTCCATAAACTTTTCACTGGAGGGACAAGAGTGTGGGTCACACAGGGATTCTGTTCTCTTGTTGGAAATCTTATACACGAGCAAGGCAGCCCCCTCAGACAACCAGTCACCTTAAACTGGACTTGTGGTAACATCGAGGAGACAGAGCCTGCCCAGCATGTTCTTCCTTGCCCTTTTGTATGCTCAACCTGAATGCCAGAGGATACCTACGGAGGCTGGCCCATGGACTCAAAGAGCTGACTGCGGAATTGAACCTGGGGAGCCAGTGCTTTGCCTGCCATTGTTGGGTGTATTATGAGTGGAGATGGATTCGATTAACTTTTGCTTTTAACAATTTTAAATACACTCAAGTGGTTGTGAAAAATTCCCCTAAACCAAACAGAAATACCTCTTGGAATAATTCATGAGTAGTAAAATATTTACTAACTCAAACTCGGGATCACCTCCCTTCTCCTCCGGCAAACTATGTCTGATTGCAAAACAAATCCAAAGAGAAAGGTGGAAATCCAGCTCAGACATGAAACCTACATTTTCCCCTCCAGTCCAAATACTTCAGAGCGGCGGTGGACTTCTGTGTTGTGACAGCAAGTGGCAAAACTTATAAATGCCACAGAGACACCTTTGGTTTAAGAAACAGTAAAGAAAAAGCCCTCAGAGAAGTTTGGAACTGGATTTTTTTTGGTAACAACTACAGACATTTAAGGGACGAAGAAGTGCCCTCAGCAGCACAGTGATAGCACACAGCCTACGACAGGTTCCAGAGTAGCATCAGCTTTTACTCTTTAGCCCAATGTACTCCTGTAAGATATTTGCGGTGAACTTTGGGGCTGCCCAGCTGTTGCTTAGGCAGATGAGGTTTATACATGTCTGGAGAGGAACTTGAGCCCACCTGTGACATAAAGCCAAACATATTGCATTAAATATGTGTCTCCTCATCTGTCCCCTGAGAAATCTCTATGTGGGACAAGAAGCTACAGTTAGAACTGGATATGGAACAACTGATTGGTTCAAAATTGGGAAAGGAGTACGGCAAGGCTGTATATTGTCTCCCTGCTTATTTAACTTATATGCAGAATTCATCATGCAAAAGGCTGGGCTGGATGAATCCCAAGCTGGAATTAAGATTGCCGGAAGAAATATCAACAACCTCAGATATGCAGATGACACAACCTTGATGGCAGAAAGTGAGGAGGAATTAAAGAACCTTTTAATGAGGGTGAAAGAGGAGAGCGCAAAATATGGTCTGAAGCTCAACATTAAAAAAACGAAGATCATGGCCACTGGGCCCATCACCTCCTGGCAAATAGAAGGGGAAGAAATGGAGGCAGTGAGAGATTTTACTTTCTTGGGCTCCATGATCACTGCAGATGGTGACAGCAGTCACGAAATTAAAAGACGCCTGCTCCTTGGGAGAAAGGCGATGGCAAACCTAGACAGCATCTTAAAAAACAGAGACATCACCTTGCCAACAAAGGTCCGTATAGTTAAAGCCATGGTTTTTCCAGTAGTGATGTATGGAAGTGAGAGCTGGACCATAAAGAAGGCTGATCGCTGAAGAATTGATGCTTTTGAATTATGGTACTGGAGGAGACTCCTGAGAGTCCCATGGACTGCAAGAAGATCAAACGCATCCATTCTTAAGGAAATTAGCCCTGAGTGCTCACTGGAAGGACAGATCGTGAAGCTGAGGCTCCAATACTTTGGCCACCTCATGAGAAGAGAAGACTCCCTGGAAAAGACCCTGATGTTGGGAAAGATGGAGGGCACAAGGAGAAGGGGACGACAGAGGACGAGATGGTTGGACAGTGTTTTCGAAGCTACAAACATGAGTCTGACCAAACTGCGGGAGGCAGTGGAAGACAGAAGTGCCTGGCGTGCTCTGGTCCATGGGGTCACGAAGAGTCGGACACGACTAAACGACTAAACAACAGCAACATTGCATTAAATGTGTGTGTGTGTGTGTAAAATAATATTACCGTACACAGCACCACAATCTCCATCAGCAGTGTGAGATTCCAGGGGTTGTAGGCCTGCTTACCAGGATCCACATTCCCTGTTAGAGCAAAGAGGCACAACAGAGCCTGTGGTGTCTTTATGATATACAGTGGTACCTCAGGTTAAGTACTTAATTCGTTCCGGAGGTCCGTTCTTAATCTGAAACTGTTCTTAACCTGAAGCACCACTTTAGCTAATGGGGCCTCCCGCTGCTGCCACACCGCCGGAGCACGATTTCTGTTCTCATCCTGAAGCAAAGTTCTTAACCCGAGGTACTATTTCCGGGTTAGCGGGGTCTGTAACCTGAAGCGTCTGTAACCCGAGGTACCACTGTATGGTTTTATTTACACATATACAGTGTGACCTCTGTATCCGTTCCGGAGGCCCGTTCGCAACATGAAAAGCCCGCAACCTGAAGCACCATATCTGTGCAGGTGCGTGGTGCGATTTGGTGCTTGTGCGCATGCACGATCTAGCGCTACTGCGCATGCGCGAGAGGCGAAACCCGGAAGTAACCCTTTCCAGTACTTCCAGGTCGCCATGGGGTGCAACCTGAAAAAACGTAACATGAAGCAAACATAACATGAGGTATTACTGTATACAAGATGGGAAGGTAGCCTATCTAGGAGAAGAAAAACTCTGATCCTAGACCTCTGCTGCCTTGCAGGTGCAGGAAAGGCTAAGGAGTAAACTCTACACAAATCTGGAGTGGAGTACCTAAGACAGCTGGACAACAACTCCTGCAGCCAAACTGGTAACAAACATATTGCTCTGCTTTCCTTTGGACCACATCACGGAGGCTGAGAGGAAGGTCTTGTCATCTGGGCAGCCCAGGACCTTTGTACTGTACACAGTGCTCAGGCTTGTGCTGCTAATGCAGCAGTGTGACTTCACCCCTGGAGACACACTGTCTCCCAAGACAGATGGATGCCAACAACAACACACCTGCACCTAGATGGAGGGATTGCAGCGCATTCATATCTGGCTTCCCCTATAAGGGAATATAGATTCAAAGGTCAGCAAAAAGCCATTCTCTGTGTCTTCTTTGTTCCAGCCTGTCATCCCCAGTTCACTTGGAGTTCTGCGCCTCTTTCTGTTTCTCGCTGCTAACTGACCCCAAGGACCTCCCCACAGCCTACATCATTCAAAGTTGAAACCCTAAACCTGGTCTTTGCCTCTGCCCATTAGCACCCAATGAAGAAGGGGCCCCACTCCCCCTTGCCTGGGAGCCTTGCTCTCTCATTGTTTCCTTGAAGGGCCATCACTGTCCTTTGTATCCCACTAATGACCCATTCAGCTAGCTCTGCCAGGCTGGCTTGGCTCGCTAGCATAACTAAATCCAGAGAGTTTCCATGCTTGGCAAAGTTCAATCAAACCTTGATTGATTCTAACTTTTACTAGATCCTTTTAGGGGGATCTAGCCCCCCCCCCATCACATAACATCACAAACTTTATTCCCATTGTTAGGAGTCCTAACAACTCTCAGTACCATTAATAAACTACAGTTTAAAGTGGCATAAGAGTTCTTTAAATGAGGTCCCAGAATGTATTTTGGGTCATATTAGCAGACCAGTATTCCCAGCCTGCATTTTCTGTCACATGCTCTTCGCTGCTTCCTGGCAGGCTAGTAGACAAAAGCATTCCAGGGCACCGGAGGGGGGGGGCTACAGATGTGCTGTGGGGTGCTTTAGGGAAAGTGGAGGCAGAATGTGCTTCACTCCATCATCACACCATTTAGAAACAGAAGGAAAAGCACACAGCTGCTCCACATCACAAGGAATCTGCTGTGCGCCACAGCCTCTTACTCCTGGGCACGCTTCCGCCAGAGAATGGGAATTACCACTGCTGTCATTTTATTATTCTACTTAGCATTCCTACCAGCGCAGGGCATTTCATCATACTTTGCTTAACTCTGAAGAGCCAGTCATCCTCAGTTATTGTTTTCACTTTTATATACTATTAATGAATTAGCTTTTTTATGGCTGTTATTTCTCAATTAGTGCAATCCCTCAAGGTAGCTAAAAGGCT